TGGAGAGCCATTACCAGGGTCCACGAGGCATTATGATTTCAGATGTCATTGTTTAGATGTCTTCATTTTGCGACCCTTCCGAAATGCATCGCATCCTACCACCGGCGTTATTGACGTTTCGTCGCCGGCTTCGCACATGTGACTGGTACCACGTGTGTGCTCATGTACACATACCGGCGAGGGAGCCCTAACGATGCTCCCTCACGTGAACTTACCTTCTCCTATCGCATATTTATTCCGTCGACTTTATTCTCCGTGCATAATATTTAATTTCCCGACACTAACATTCTCCTCCGAAAAAATGATTGCGGGTAAAATTACTTTGACACATAACTTTTTCCGCGGCGACTTTTCAACGGCGTTAAATGTGTAACGTGAGAGAGAATTTGCCATTGTTGCTTGGAGAGAATGGGAGCGTAGGGTCGGAAAATTCAGGAAAAGACAGAAATGGCTGCCAGGCCTGTGCTTGCGGTCCCCCTCACGGGTCGCGAATGTTTCGTACGGCCGAGAAAGGGAGTTATCGATTTAATTCCCCGGGAAAAGCCATGGGGGAAAGCCGTGCGACGCGAACCTTTCGCGACCCTGTCCTTTGTTCGTGCTGCTTCGCCATAGGAATGGCATTTTTTTGGACGCGATATGTGTCCATTTTTAGAAAATACATATAAGTATTCTAAAAATGCGTGCATTTTGTATGTGCGATTTTTTTTGCCGATTGATATTTATTATATATAAATATATGTGTATAATATAATATAAAATAAAATAATATATAATATTATTAATGTATTCATAATTGCATTATCTTACGTTAGACGCACAGAATGCAGAGATATAAACCTCATGATAAAGTTCCAAAACCATACTTTTTTTCTCTGTCGTATATCTTGCATATTATTTTTATATCTGCCTTGTGTATTTAATTTATTACATTTTCTATCAAATTTTTCCTACTAAATTGTTTCTTGTTTTTCTTAATTTTATCCTCTGACACTTTTATTCTAACTCAAAACATTTATTGAAATTTACTCGAGGATGTTTTTATGTTATTTCTACATGTTGACGTTTGTCAAGATAAATAATATTGTTATAGTAATATTATAGTTAATATTGTATAATAATATTAAATAATATTGTATAATATATTTATATGTGTATAATTTTATTATCTTACGTTAGACACATAGAATACAGAGATAAAAACTTCATGATAAAGTTTCGAAACCATACTTTTTTCTCTGTCGTATCTTGCATATTATTTTTATATCTGTCTTGTATTTAATTTTATTACATTTTCTACCAAATTTATCCTATTAAATATCTCCTTGTTTTTCTTAATTTTATCCTCTGACAGTTTGATTCTAACTCAAAACATTTCATTGAAATTTACTCGAGGTTGTTTTCACGTTATATCTCTACATTTCGTTGTGTGCGAAATGAATTGAACAATGTTGAAGAAAGAGAGAAACATTCACAAAGAAAGCTAAACAGCAGCTGATCTGTGTGGTATGTGGGGAAATTTCCAATTAAGAGACTATGCAGAATGATCCGTCTACCATCCCGTGATGCAAAACATTCCGTGTAATAAAGTGACATTCTATTGATCGCGCTCTTTCTTGCAGCAAACACGTGGCAAATGCATTGTCGATTCTTTGCCGATTGATCACTGAAAAATACCTCGTTGTTGTTGCCCGACAGAGAAAAAGAAAGCTTTTGATGGATACCATCGCATCATTCGCGCAAACGTTCCACGTCATTGATTCTCAGAGATTTTTCTATATTCCCTCGCGATTCCACGAGCTATAAATCAACAGAACGTTATTTCGCCGTGTTATTTTAGTTTCTTCGTTATCGTTGGTTAAGATTTTACAACGGAAAATATAAATGATTATTATATAAATTTTGTGAAAGTTATAAGTATTAAAAATATAAAATAAGTATTGAAAGTATAAAAAAAAGGAAAACATGCAAGCTATAAGTTAAGAACTCTTGAGTCTTTAATATTACATAATAGAATAAAATTGTAAAGTGTATACAGAAAGAATTTTCTCTTAGAATTTTATAAGAATTTCTTTGATTAATATTTCACTAGAATAAAAAATATTATATCTATTACAATAAGACATAAAATATGTCCGACTAATTTTACTATGATTTTCAGGATAAATTCTAAGAGAAAATTCACTCCGTGTCTAAGATATACGTATATCTTTTATATTTATTTATACGTATATTATTTTTTTTATTATAACAAAAATTGAATTCTCTCTTTTCACAACATTTATTCACACTATCGATTTTTAGCTTACACTATACTTTTAATCTTTAAATGAGCTGCAAAATTGAAAATCAATTTGAATTCTCATCAGTTTTATGCAGCTGAAAATTGCATCGCGCTACGTCGCGCGTATATGTGCATTTTTGCATTGGATGATGGCGTTTGCTTTTTTGTCATGATGCGTGTATGATGAACGATATCGGTTTTTCGTGAATGAACGGTCTCTCGTGATGGAACACGGACAATTCGCGCGTGTAACATTGTCGAAAATTGTGCCACGCATCAGTCCTACGCATGGCACATCGCTCATGGACAATTCAGTGGGCGAGCAAATGCGCAATGCCAGTTAACAGTGTACAGGATGCTCCAAAAAGTACACGAGAATAGCGTGCATCCTGTCCTCGGCGTTAATTTTCAGATTTCTATCCCCGAGATCGCACACACAAACGTTACTTTATCAATAAATTTATTTTTAACACATCGAGATAATATACAAAGTTGGGCAGATATGTATCTTAAAGTATCTGAGATATTTAAATATGTTTTTTAAATCAGAAAATTTAAACAATAATTGTATTTAAAAGTATTTATAAATGTATTTAAATACAACTAGTATTTAAATATATTTCAAAACCAAAGTATTTCAATAGTATTTAAATATATGTCAAACAGTATCTTGTATCTTGTATTTAAAGATTTTGTTTTGAAGTATCTGCCCAACTCTGATAATAATTAATGTGCTCAATTAAAGAAGGATACTCTTCTTTATGAAAAAAAAATGGTTGGAAAGAAAATGTAAAAGAGTAAATTCCAGCATATTTTTTTTTGTGGGAAAACATATTATTAATCAACTTTGATAACAATATTATTCAGACGTTAGAATTTTATTAAATTGAATATATTGATTGCTAAATTAATTCTCACATTGAATTCCACGTCAGATTTTATATATTTTTATTAATCAACTTTGATAACAATATTATTCAGCCATTAGAATTTTACTGAATTGAGTATTCTGATTGATTGCTAAATTAAAATAAACAGAGGTGTTTCTCATTAAATTCCCACACTGAAAAAACATTTCTTAACTTGACTACATCTTTCAACTAAATATTTTTATTAATAATTATATTTTGATTAATAAATATTATTTTTGAAGTTATTAAATTATTTTGTTAATTGAACATATAAAAATATTTAAATTAAATGTAACATATTAAATGTAACAAAACTTATATTTGACACAAATACTAATATATATTCAATTAAAAAATAAAATAGTATAATTTAGTTGAAAGGTTTAGTCAAGTTGACAAATTTTTTTTTTCAGTGCACCAAAGAAACGTCGGATTGAAAATTTCTCGCTACTTTCTCGACACACCCTGTATACCTATGCATACATAAATCTGCCACAAAGCATACCCACGAGAAAACGCATAAAGAGTCGGAGAAAGAGAAAAATAGAGAGAGATACGAGAAAGAGAGAGAGGAGAGAGAGAGACACGTTCATTGAGATGCGTCTCGCGTCTATTTCTCTGGCAGTCGTGGACCGGAAGCTGGCTCGTCATACGTGACGAGTATCCGGTGGCCCGGAGTCTCTTATCGGGTCTGACAATTCTAGGAAAGGAGCCGATGTATCTATCTGTATAAAGAGAAGAGAGAGAGAGAGAGAGAGAGAGAGAGAGAGAGAGACAGAGCTTAGGGATGCATGTGTGATAGACGATAAGCAAACAGTTTTTGCCGATATTATTCTAAATTTGGTAGCTGCCGATATAAACAAAGTGCGTAAAAGCGCAATGCTGTGATAGGGAAGGCGACCTATAATTCATATCTTCATAAAAATTGATAGAATCTTATCACTCTGATGCGATAATACTATTTTCCTAGACTACGTCATACCGAGAAAAAATATAATCATATAATATAATATATATAAATATATATTAGAAAATATAATTTTATATATGTATAGAAAATATATTAATTATTATATTTAAAAAAATTTTTAATTGTGATTATATGATTGCATGTCAAGTAGTAATATTACAATGTTACAACTTTATATGTAGCTGCATAATATAATTCTATTATTTTGAAATGTGTGTAATTATATAATATTGAAAATTATATAATCACAATTAAAAAATTAAAAAATATTTTCTGTATATATTATATAATTATATTTTCTAACATATATTTTATTATTATTATATTATGACAAGGCGCGCGCTTTCTCCACAATAATTTTCAATATTATAATTACACACATTTTGAAATAATAGAATTATAATATGCAATAACATATAGAGTTGTAACATTACAATATTACAACGTTACAAATTTATATGTAGTTGCATAATATATAGTTCTATTAATTTGAAATGTGTATAATTATTGATAATATTGAAAATATTACAATATTACAACTTTATGTGTCACTGCATATTATAATTCCATTATTTCGAAATGCGTGTAATTACAATAATGAAATTGATTGTGGAGAAAGCGCCTTATCTGGCGTGTAATTAATGCAAATTTAGGCATGATATGCGAATGTAAACGTGGAGTTACCGATCACGATGCTTATGCTAATTTACGCGGGTGATGTAGCCAGATCTGGTTAACGCCGATGAATGACGGCGCTCGTTAAAAATATCATTGCGTCATATCGCATCGTAACAGCACCGGTTCCCAGATAATAACTCGTTATGTTTCTCGTTTACAGCTGTGTACAACTGGCGAGGGGACACGCGTTATGGACTACCTCTGGAAATCGGAGAAACCGTGCAGATTCTGGAGGAATGTGCGGGTAAGAATCACTCGACATCATCCCGTTTTGCTCCAGAAAAAGAGAATGATCGATACACTATAAAAATTTCTGTTAAATTACAGATATTACATGTCGCAAACGGTCCGCAGAAATTTTTGTGTTTATTTGACATATGGACATGTTAAATGGAAACACAAATATTGCGTTAATATTTTAACACAAAATAAATGCAAAACTTCAAATAATAAAATAAAATAAAAAATCAACATTTTAGTCTGTAAATTTTAACAAATCAATTTTGTCACTAATAAAACAGAACATATTTATTGTGTAAAATAAAAAAATAGATGTACGTGGTTTTTTTCAGCGGTTTTAATCATTTAACATTTAAGTTCAATTAACACAACAGCAATATGTCAAACTAACACATGAATGTGTTAAATATTTAACATAAAAATTTTAACGGGGACCAATTTTTAACAAGAAAACAAATTTTTCTACTGGGCACAACTTTACAATTATAAATATTTTTAATTAAATTAAAAATGAAAATGTACATACATATATAAATATTTATTTTTAATTTAATTAAAAAGTCTATATAATTCTAAAATTGTATTTTCAAAATTTATTAGCACAACATATGTTAAATTAATACATGAATGTATTAAATATTTAACACAAAAATTTTAACCGGTTTTAAAAGAAAAAAAAAGAAGACAGATTTTTCCTACTGTGTATCGATTACAAGTTCCTCGTTCGTTCAAGGCTAGGGGAAGCTTGATAAGTTCATCAGCGGAAACCCGATGATATAGCATAATTGGAATGATGTTGACGAGGAAGAAAAAAAATGAAAGAAACATTTATATGAACGAAAAATAAATGATTTTCCTGTCAATCGATCAGCTGTTTTACTGAGCCGGGTGTTTCGACAATTCCAGGCTGGTACAGAGGCTTCTCGACGAAGAATCGCGCGGTGAAAGGGATCTTCCCGAGCACGTACGTGCACCTGAAACCATGTAAAATCGACAATGAGGGCCTCTTCGAGTCCGTCATACCGTTGGAAGATCCGGTGGTGCGAGAAGTCATCCTGGTCCTGCGAGAATGGGGCGGGATTTGGAAGAGGCTGTACGTGGTGAGTATATTTATTTTATATACAAAGGTTCTCCGAATAAACTTCTACTCGTATTTGCACAAGATTTTTTTATTCATTAATTTTCATTAATAGTTTCTCGGTAATTAATATTTTTTCACGTTGTGTAAAGGGAATTAATTTTTAATACATTATTTTTTGATAAATTTTTTTGAAAATACAAAATCACATTTATCTTTGCTATCTGCCTCAGGAACGCGAGGAGTACAAATTCAACGCTTTGCGCAAAGTGATGAGGGAGTTGCTGGAATGGCGGCGGCAACTTTTGGCCGGCACCCTCACCACGGATCAGACGCGGGAGCTGAAACTACGGATAATCAATAAAGTGGATTGGGGCAATCGGTAAGTCAAGAAAAAATACACATCTTGCATTATTAAATTTGCGCGAATGAAATGGGCGAGGTCGGGCAAACCGTCCTATACAATTATTGCGAAAAAGGGGTGGCTTTTATTGACGACGTGAGCCATCTTAATTACAGATGCATATTATTTTATCTTTAATCATGATTGCATATCGTAAATTGAAATTTGCGCGAAAAAATTATTCGATTTTAAAAATACGTCAATAATAAAATAGAATTTCTCGATTATAATAGGTAAATATTACATCTTAATATAATAGATCTATCTGGAAATACTTAAATAAGATGTACTATCTAATAATATATTTTATATTAAAATATAATATTTTAATATAATATAATAACTATCATATCTTATTATTTAAATATTTACAGATAGGATTTATTGTATTGAGATATAATATCTCTTATGCGAGTATTTATTTCTATCCGAGTAACCAAATTATTAATGAAGAAGGAGAGTTCCTGGATATATATTTCATGATCTAAAATACTTTAATCCACAAACACACGACTGATGAAAATTTCAGCGAGTAATTCTAGCGCAAAGTAGTCCATTTATCCGGTTGAAGGAAAGTTTGTAGCTTCGAGTAGCTTCGGGCACAGCTGAGGAAAAAAAAAACTTCGGAATTATAATGATTATTCCGCGTGTGAAAGCCGGATGAGAGAGTAATTGGAAAGAATCTCGTTTATTTTCTATCATTTCTTGTCTCGTATTTTAATTGCTACAACGACGTTGCACATATTGGCAGTCTTCCTCTCGTATCGAAACGCGAGTAATGTCTCGCTCCTTTTAAAGAATACGCTGATACGCTAAATAACGCGTATCCTACAATATGTATATATATATATTGTATATATATATATATATATATATATATATATATATATATATATAGAAGGCACTTTTGCGAACAACTATTAAACCTATAAATTGATTACTCATTCTCTCTATCTCTCTCTCTCTCTCGCTCTCTCTTTCTTTCTCTCCCTTTCTTTCGTTCATCTTAAATGATTAATCTTAAATCTTTATCTTAAGAGATATCACTCGGAGCGCGATTAATCGGCAATCTAACGGATACCGTAAAAGGGAAGGATTGTAATAGTTTGACACTATTGTCGTCATACATAGTTATTGTCGGCAGCGTTTACACATTGTTCTCTCAGACGCAAAGGAGGGAAGGTGAAAGGATGAGGAGAGATGTATAATATCTGAGCGTCGAGGGAAAGTTTCTATTGTCTTTCGCTAACAGGAAGGAGGATTACCGTGTACGTGATAATTAATTACGACAATTAAAAGTCTACGTACGGGATAGACGCGCCGATTACAATATCGGGGACGATGACGCTATTCTTTCGCGATCCCAATTCTAGAGTTAAGTAATGAAGTATTTAATTATATCGAAGAATAATCATTAAGAAAATGACGTAAGAAGATCTTTTCGAATTATGTAATTATATAATCTACAGATAGAGGAACCCCATTCGCTTATTTGATTTTCACTTCACAATTACTTTTTCCTACTTTAGATATTTCCCAGAAATCATGTAGCAAGTGTCTTAAAAAATGGATATCTTCTTTTATTTTACGAAGAAATTATTTTGCTTTCTTATAGAGGAAATTTTGTTTTGAATTAATTTTCCAATTCTCGAAAACACATTTTACACATATTTCGCACAACCGTTATTTTAATCCACTTGCTTAATTAAATGGTGATCCTCTATATCGAATGTGTTCGCACGAATGTCGAGCATCATTCTCATTTTTTTTTCAATTAAATTACACTACTAACTTCAATTTAGTCTACAATCGTTGCATCAGTCGCGCAAAAATATTTTCGAAAAAATTAAACAGAAAAAAAGCACGATGCATACGATGCGCGAATATAATGATATGTCTGTTCCTTCCGCCTGCTAGACTATTGTTGATGTATGATTTCGTGTCTCTATTAGATTACACACTAGGCAGTGTACTGGTTTTATGTAATGCGCGATATGTAATGTGCTTTTACGATGTTTCGCGCAGCTTTATAATTGCGCGATGCTTCTACACGCGAGATTCGCTCTAATATTAATGCATTAACATTTTCTAAACAAAGTTCGATATACAATTTGTTTGAAAGATTCGTTGATGGATCTTGTACCCTATCGATGTATTTATTTTCTTTAAATTACTATGCGATACGACGAGATCGATAACGATGGCGCACGTTTCTCGTCACGTGACGAATAACACAGGACAACTTCCTATTATTATTTCGTGAAAAAAAATATATAAGCGGAGCTCTGATCTATGATATTTTTACGTATCGCAACAGAAGCAAATATCAAAGTAACATATAGCAGTGTGTCGTAGCTCGCTTTTCTCTTCTCCTCGATGATCTACAACAGTAATGTGTCAAGAGGAATGTGAATTACATTCGCGCGAAACAGGGGCCAAGGAAAACCCTAGGTTATCAATTTTACGCGCGTTCCACGTGTGACTGCGTTCTACTCTCTCAAAATTAATCAACGATTGAATAATAATTAAAATGATTCGATCCTAGGATGACGAAAGAAAAGTCTCTCGCACCTGTTGCAACTTGACAGCTTATCAACAGTCACACGTGCAAACGGTCTTATCGATTCGAGAGCATCGCGCTACATTAACGTCTACATTATATATTCGATAATCTAATTAATGTCGATTCGTGCCGTCGCCGCCGGTGAAAGCGAATCCTTCTGATTTCTCAGTGTGCGATACTCGTTTCTTTCCACAGCGCATTATTCGAGAGAAAATATTTCGAAGAAAATGCAGAAGTAAATGGTCGGGAAAACAGTGGAGTGACTTTGTGCGTTTTAACTTCGGAGTGAATGAAAATCTCTTATACAGCCGTGGAATAGTCAAGAATCTCATTAGCATCGGCTTCACGTTGTTTATCGCGTTTTTTCAAGCTCGGTTTATACAAGCGCGAAACGACGTACACATATAACAACGTTGCAATGAAAGCCTCATAATAACATTGAAATAGAAGCGTCGACAGACAGGAAGCTGCGACGAGACAAACTCTTTTTATACGTATTATTATATATTATTTTATACGCGGATGATGCTGAGAACTTGAATAAATGAAACTTTAGTCAGGAATAATTCGCGATCTTGAGAAGAGAAATGTAATTAAATAGAGAAGAGAAAAGAGAGGAGATTGCGTTTCTTCTAGTGATCCTCAGCACAGTTTGGAAGATTCGTCGTTGGCGATGTAAATATAAACGCGAAAAACACGTCGAAATTCTCGTCGACGAAAGACGAGGACCAAATTACACCTGACGATGCGGCACGAACCTATCTCTTTATTATTGGCACCGAGACAACGGCGGACAACATATGGTGCCGCCCTCGGTATTATCACAATACGGACAGAAGTGGACGTGGGAAGGCGCGGTGGAGAAAAGTCGACTTTAGGGTTGCTTAGATCTCGGTGTCCTTCCCGAATTTCTCGATCTCCGGATACATGGGTGACATCTCCAGGGTGCTGGGCGCCGACGGCATCGACGTCGGCGACGCGCCGCTGCTGCTGCCGCCGAATTGCAAACGGCGACACAGTTCCTCAAGCACCTCGTTGAACATCATGAGATTCATATTTTGTCCGAGCAGATGAAGCATCAGAAAGTCGCCGACCTGAAAATTCATTTTTTTTTTAATTTTATTTATTCTTAATTTATTTAATTTTATTTTATTAAACTAAATAAATTAAAAAATTATAAAGACACTTTTAGGTTTCGTAATGCATTATATTCACTTGTAGCGCCTCAACTTTCACTCGAGAGCTTCTATTAAATTCTGAAATGGGTCAGTACTCGCTCGTTGAAGCGAAACTTTTGAAATGACATTATCTACAATTCGTGCATATTATTGACATTTTATTGATCGAAGAAACGTCCCACCTGAGTCTTTCGGATGAGCGCGCTGACCGTAGCCGAGGTGCCGAACTTGAAGCGTTTCTTGATGATCGTCTCGCGACAGCTGGGCATCAGCACTATGGCCATGCTGTACAGCATAGCGCCACCGGAGAAGACGGCCAGGATGATGAACCAGAACCACAGGAAGATGTAGATCTTCTCGTTGATGATGTTGAGCGCCAGCACGCAGAGCGCGTCCAACTTTTGTAGCGAGCCGGAAGCACCGTATTTGTGGAAGGTGCACTTGGTCACCCGCGGGAACACCTCGATCATCGGGTCGTTACGTTGCTCCTGATTCATGTTGCTGAACTTGATCACGTCGGTACCGTACGTAAGGAAAGCGCCACCCAGGAAGACATCCACGAAGAATATGTTGCCGATCTGAGACGCAACAAGGAACAATATTAATTTCATGCAAAGAATCTGATGATTCAAATTATATAAGATATTATTGTATAATAAGGAAGTTGGAGAAAGAAATTTCATTTGCTCTACGATATCTTCTAAACACCCTAATACTTCATATTGGAGAACCGTCTTTGGGATTACTTACGGTGTTGACAAAGTTGAGGGCCTCGCAGAAAATAACACAAAATATTATTCTTTAATGAAATTAGACATTTAGACATCTATATATTCAAGAAATTTAATTTGCTCTACGATATTTTCCAAACACCCTAATACTCCATATTGGAGAATCTTCTTTGAGCTTCGCAGAAATTAACACAAAATGTTCTTAAATAAAATTAGAAATCTAGACATCTATATATTCAAAAATTTCATTTGCTCTACGATATCAAACACCCTAATACTCCCTATTGGAGAACCTGCTTTGGGATATACTTACGGTGTTGACAAAATTGAGGGCCTCGCAGAAGAAGTAACCAGCGGCATAGCTGTTGTGCAGGTGCATGGTTTCGACGAGGTACTGGACCAGTCTTTCGATCTTGGCCTGTCGTTCCTGCTTGCTATCGACCATGGCACCTCTCAAACCCTCGGATATTATCCTGATTTTTCCCTCCTCCCATTGTTTCCACATCCAATGCGGTGTGTAGAAGAGCACGCCTTGTAAGAACAGCATGAAGGGCACCCACTGATAATACGAGTGGAACCTCTTCTCGCCAACATCGCTACCCAGACCCGGGTGGGCCACGTGGGACGCGGGTTTCGAGACAGTCCCCGGTAGCGTGAATGTGTACGTAATCCAGCAATAAGTATTCATCACGTGAGTGGATACAGCGCCGGTTTCCGTTAGACATTGAATGGGATCACCTGTGTACGAAAGTAGATATTAAGTGACTAATATTTTTTACCATTTCATATTTTTAACTATAATTAAATTTGATATTCAATTAATTTTAAATTTAATATTTTTAACTTAATGGGATATTTTTTTTACTAAATTATATAGCTTAAAAATATGTGTTACCAATTGGCGAAAATTTAGGGATACTTAACATTAATTATTTTAATGACGAGAGAAGAAACCCCTGATTTTAATTAAAATTTATTTCGATAATTGGAAAAGGTAGGCGGTGATTTTCAAGCACACGGAGAGAATTTTCTCTTAAAATTATAATATTGGAAGAATTTTATAAGAGTTCTCTGATTGATATTCATAATAAAAGATATTAATATGTACCACAATAATATATAAAAAATATCTACATAATAAAATTAATCGAATATATTTTTGATATCTTATTGTGGTAGATATTAATATTTTTTATTGTGGTAAAAATATTAATCGGAGAAACTCTTATAAAAAATTCTTGCAATATTGTCCCACAATTATTATGATTTTCAGGATAAATTCTAAGAGAAAATTCTCTCTGTGTATCGTTCAGCCTTTCTTGCGCGAATGTCGTTACCGGAGTAAATCCACGGAATTACCGCGTACACATGTGTGTGTTAATCCCGTACCATTAACGAATGTCGGAGAAGGTGTTATCACGACGAAGATAACTTTTCACGTGTCACGTCACCTCGCGAACGAGTGGATGCTGCGCTGCAGTCTAGATTCTAGACGAAGATACTCGAAACTCGGAGAATCAAGTATCGTTCTCATTTAACGTTCCCGATGAAACGTTCCTAAAGCGTAATGAAGATGTTCTTGCCGATGTTGAGCGTTAAATTTGCGATCACGTTCGGTGTGTTACATTTGTACAAATTTCACACAGTACGTGTGTTTCTTCATTTGCAGCGTTTATTTTCCACATTTCTGGTTTTTTTCTCTCACGTCTAAAGCGTCTCAGAAAATATAATTTATTAATAAAAGAGCGAGTCAAATAATAAAGAAACTTAGGAGAAAATATTTATACGTTAACATTTTTAATCTTTATCAGAAATATGCAAAAATATTATTTTTGGTACACATTAAACCAAAAATATTTCTTTTAAGATTTTTATATTTTTATATAAGTTTTAGAAATAAAAAATCTTACTGCTTTATAAAAAGAATGAAAATTGAAGGGATATGTATCGATGTTTCGTGCAAAAATAAAAGAGCAAAATGAAAACGTCATTAAAACGAATAGATCTAGCGTTTACGTTCGCTAAAATTGTTTTCTCGAGATGAAACTGAATCACATGTGCGTGCTTCATATGTATACCAGATGTTTCACATTACGGTCAATTAAATTATGCAACGATCCAATAGCGCGACGAACAAAGAGGATACATTATGCTGAAGTTATAATTGATCAGTCATTTGTATATATCTTTGATCATCTATGGTATTTATCTTAAAAAATTAAACGTTTTCAAACTTTTCTCGCTTTCGTCATATCCCTAATTTTTTAAGAAAATTTAAGCGCTTAATTTTACAAATATAAAATTCGATTATTATAGATTAATTTCTACACATGTTATAAACTGAAAAAAAATTGTTAACTTGATTAAACCTTTCAATTAAATTACTATAATTGAACATATATTTAGTATTTAAGTTAAATATACATTTTGTTAGATTTAAAAAATGTTATATTTAATTTAAATATTTCTATATGCTCAATTAACAAAATAATATTCAGTTGAACGATTTAGTTAAGTTAACAAATTATTTTTCGTATAGACTATATTTTATTTTTTTATACTTTTATATTTTATTTTTTTTATAATTTCTTCATCGACGTGAGAGATCACAAAGATAAGAATCGCGCAAGGTAAACTTGATTTAATGATGATTTCAGCGAAAACGCCAAGAGCCTCTCCTACTTCTACTGTTACATATGATCATTTATTACATAATTACTGCTTCGCCCTACGCGATCCAAGATCCACTCATTAATCATCGCGCAAGAGCGACCTCGATTCGCTCTCGACAATCGTAGCTGAAAAACGAGCACATATATCTAGTGGCGTATTATGTTATGATTACTAGGCGCAAACGCGCCTTTTTCTAATCAGCCGTGCCATTATATTATCACCTATCGTATATCGCGTGGCGATAATAAAAAGGCGTTAAAATTGACAGGATCAGCTGTTCGGCAGATATCTCGTAAGCGTAGAGGAATGTACTCCAGATTGTCGTCCACTTGCGTCTCTATCCTCTCTGATCGAAACCGATTGCGATCTCTGCACCGACTTTCTGCAATTGCGACGTGCAATTGATCCTTAACCCGGTAATATTCAGCGCGATAGATTAAATGATTCCTGCCTTCGAGTGTAGTCTATTTTTAAACTCCTCCCTCTCTCTTGTCTTCAAGTATTTTAACTGCTCTTTTAAAGTCTAGGGTATATACACTATTACAAAGTATTCACTTTGTTTATCTGTCTTGTCGACGGCGACGTAAAGGATTTTCTCTGAAAAAAATATTACTAGGATGCAAAATGCAGGGTGTCTAGCGATCAGGGAAATCTGGAAAATCGGACATTGTCAGGGAATTTTACAAATCTGGAATTGTCGGGGAATTTTATAAATCTGGAATTGTCAGGGAATTTTATAAATATGGAATTGGCAGGGAATTTTATAAATCTGGAATTGTCAGGGAATTTTATAAATATGGAATTGTCAGGGAATTTTATAAATCTGGAATTGTCAGGGAAAAGTGAGGAAATTTTATTATTTATCTGGATTTTTTTACATTGTTCTACATTTGTCTCAATAATTTGAAATTTTTTATGAAATAAATAGAAACTTTTCCTTGACTCCAAACACGCTAATTTTCTGTGTTGTTAAAAATTGATTCATCTACAGCGTGTTCGTTAATTTATTATATCTTCATTGTCGTGTTATTCTATTTCAATGTGTTTGATAGAGATAAAACTAAAAAATTTGATATAATATACAAATAGAAAAAGGTGATTATTATTGTACATAATGCAGATTGTATAATTGATTAAAATTTTTGTTTTAGCTTCCGAACCTTTTCATTGTTGACAAAAATATCTGAAGGATTTTATGATTTAACATTTAATTGATTTATCATATAGATATATGCAAATGATATATTTGGAAAAAATAATACTAAAAAGTCAGGGAAAAAATGAATTTCTGGTCTTGAAAAAGTCAGGGAATTTTTTCATTTTGTCTGCTGGACACCCTAAAATGCAAATTAAATGAATATATTTACCTATCAAGTTATTCGCTGAGACGATGACGCAACAGACAAACAACATAGCTGCCGTGGTCCTGTAATGTAGCCGAAATACCATGTTGTCGATGGTGGCCTTGTCAATCAGATATCGTACCTTGACGAAGCCGGCGACCGCCGAGACTAAGCCGAATACCGCCATTTTCGTTTATCTGCAAGAAGAAGAAGAAGAGAAACGCGTTAATTCATTTTTATTTGACAGTTCCTACTGAATAATAAATTGGCTATAATACACTGAAAAAGAAACTGGAAAAATTACTTGATTATCACTGTAATTTTTTTCCATATTCTTTAAAGTAAAAATACATATTTTGATGTGAAAATATACGTAAAATATAGGTAAGATGATTATTTTGATGCAAAAGTCATAGGTATGTAATTTTAAATTTACTATTTTTACTTTATTAGAACTTTATTTTATGATTCCATATTCAGTGAAATATTTTTAATCTTGAAAATATATAGTAGCAATATTACAAGATTATGCTGAGTCCGAAAAAAAACTTGGCATAATCATGTAATTTTACACGAATATTTTTCTCAGTGTAGCGCGGCTACTTTTTCAGCATATTTCTATCGGCTAGAGAATAATATTTTCCGAGTCTCGACTAACAAAAAGCATAAACTATATAATTCTCGGTTACTGATATCAGTTTGACTTGTCCTCGCGTATATTTTCTCTGCAAATAATTTTTTACAGCGCCGGCAATTAAAACATAACATTATCTAGATTCTCATTAGTGACCAGACATTTAAGTAGGTTTTTATCTAAATAGAATTTTGTATTCCAGTCACGACAGAGTTGCTATATGGTAAATTCTAGTAAAACCTGACCGGTTTCTGTGTTTCTCGTTTAATCCACGTTTTTTTTTTCTACTTAGATTTTTATCGCGTACTCTCTTTCTCTCTCTCTTATAAGGATAGACGACAGTTAAATAGTTTGCAAAAGATTAACGGACTGTCTTCGTTTGACGAACCATCAGATCAACCTAATGAATTCTTGTAGTAATTTATTTAATGACTCACATGAAGGCATCGCCTGGGAAATAAAAGAAATTGATTCTCTCTTGGAGAAATTACTCTTCAAGTTCTTTATCGATTGTATATGCGTGTCGTATCTAGATTCAGCTCGTGATTAATTCAACCACGGACTCCAGTAGTAAACAGGATTACATTCTTCCAGATCATCAATCTCATCTTTGATTCTCTCGGCGACAATCTTCGATTGCGTTGTTTACGAAATTAATTGAATCTATCGCGAGAGTTTAAAAGAGAAGTGATTGACTTTGAATCTTAAATAGACATGTATGATGAATTAAAACGGCGGTATATTTAATAACGATGCAATTAAGAAAGAGCTATTTAAAATTGCAAAATTAATGTAATTTAGAATCTACTTTTCTGTGTATAATTCTAGGATTTTTTACTAAACATTTTTATTGTGCTGCAAAATTCGGAATTTTTGTGATAAGAATTTAAGAGAAGGAGAGAGGTTTAAAATTAACAATCTTAATTTTTTACTCCTATATTGAAAAGAAAAAATTAACTCTAAATTAAATTACTATTTTATTATAATTGAACATATATTAATATTTAAATCAAATATACGTTTTGTTTAATATATTATATTTAAATATAATATTAAATATAATATTGAATATAATACTATGTATAATAATATTATATTTCATATTATATTTAATACTATAATAATATTATTATACATTATTATTTAATTTAAATATTTTATATGTTCAATTAACGAAATAAATATTTAGTTGGAAGGTTTAGTCACAAGTTAACAAATTGTTTTCAGTATAAATTGTAACCTACCATTTTTCATCGTTTTTCACTTCGTCGACGAATATAAAAGCGAAAACGTTTCGCTTTTATTCAACAGAATCGGGATGACAATTCGCGGGACCTTCTCTCCCTTTCGAAAATTCATAGGCACCCTCGCGGCGAGAGAAGGGCAACCAACCCCCGGCCCTTTTTCCCCGATGCACCCCGACGTCGCCGGAAATGGCAGATGTGTACTAGAGAGAGGATCGATATCCATAAAGGCCGCGCACACCTCGACCCGTAGATTATATTCTCTCGTCGGGAAACAAAGTCCGACGCGACCGGAATGCTCTCATTTTCGTTCTCGTCGAATTTCCGACACGTGCAGCGAGGAACCCGAAGAGATTTCGCGGAAGTTACGCAACGCTAATGGCGGCTGCGAATAACCCTCGATTTTAAAAGCCCGTCTAGATCGATTCGATTCAGTTCAATTTTTTTATCTGCGACTAAATTTCGCGCCACTGCACTGAAAAAAAATTTTGTTCATTCTTGTAAGTATTTATTTCAATACTGTCAAATAAATTATTTATTTGGAACTTATAATATTTATTTGATATGAAAAATATTTATTTTTTTTTAAGGATTTTTTTAGATCAAATAAGTATTATTAGTTTCAAATAAATGATTTATTTGGCAGTATTGAAATAAATAAAAATTATAAGAATTAACTAAATTTTTTTAATTTCGCGCTACTATAATTTTATTTTAATAAATGATCTGTATAACACGGGTTTGTAAAATGAATATAGACTGGTATCAATTATATTTTCATTTCAAGCAGCTTTCAAATAAAGGAGTTTAAACGTCATTCTTTTTTATCGTTTCCTTAGAGAAACGAGATTAAAGCGCGCGGAAATAACAGTTTGCCTTTTTATTCTTGAAATATTGTGGCTTTATGGCTTTATGTATCCTCGTGCTTTTCGATGGAATCGTGATGTAATAATTAAATTAAACGCGTAGATGCTTGCATGAAGCTTTTGATCTATTTACGCGCATCTAGAGAATTCACTCGTCACACATTTGCGGTCACAGAAAATATTATTCGCGTTAAATCGTGTGACAGTTAAAAAAGTATTACAAACCCATCCGGTGAAATATAGTTAATTAAACATTGAGATATCGAAAATAATTACGAACGAGACAATTATATTCAACAATGACACAATAAGATAAATACTCTATAATTAAAACATTTACAGAACTTTTTAGAGTAATTATTCCAAGGCATTTATTTTTCATGCACAAGAATTTAAAAAAAATAAAGATAAAATTGCGATGTTTTATTTATTTTTGTTTACAAGAGAAACCTGTTTTTTTTTTTTTCGTATACGATAGAATATTATTCCCAGCTTCATACAAAATTCAAGGGCGAGTTATAGCCTGTTGGCCGTGTGTCGACGGTATTTTATTACTTAATTAATTAAAGGGGGAACACGCGTGCCGATGTTCGAGAGGTCGATTTGCAACGAGGACGAGAATCGCATGTGTGTTTGATGCAATTACTACTATAACGAAAAAAAAATATGATAGACATAATACTTATTAAAAAAAAAATTTCTCAACAGCAGAAAAATTTTCAGATAACTTTGTAGAAATTTTATTTGAAGAGAAACTCTGCCTTTATTTACTTTCGGAAAATCTTTTGTTAGCCAGGACCATTCGTTCACACCTCACAACGGATTTCTGTACTACATTATGTTATTTTTTTGTCCGCAAAAGGTGCTAATTTCGTTTATACACGTGCACGTGGAATGTGTGAAGTTTTTTTATAAATAGTTGGCTGCTCGCAAAAATTCCGGATTGACAAATGTCATTTTCTCTTTGTGTAACAAATTTTAATTCTAATTTTATATATATTTTATATATTATATATTATATATTTATATATTATATTTTATATATTATATATTATCTAATTTATGTATATATATATATATATATTGTGTAAAATTAAGAAATATAAATATATTATATAAATAACGCACAAATGTGTGCACATATTTTTCTCGCTTTAACATTATACTATTTTGTAATATGTAGAACCGCAATTCTCCGAAATCAGTAGAACGCAATTATCCCATAATCACCTCTAGTGATAAAGGCCTCTGATATAAGTTCTTTAAATAACGTGCTTACAACGAGTCACACCTTGCAATATATTCAGATGAGAGAGTTGTAAAAAAAATGAAGGAAAAAAGATAAAATAACATGTCGCAGTATTTCTTAAAAGATGTTCCAAAATTCGTCATTTCGAAACGCTCATGTGGCGAAGGAACCAAGCAAGTTAAACCAGTTGGCTGCTGGTTTCTTGATTCTCGGCTGAATAAGAGTGGGGTTCGACTTTAACGAAGACGAGGCCGATACCCTCTTTCATATATGAGCTCTCGTCTTGATTAATCTTGCGTATCTCGAATACGCGACATTTCAATTCGAAACGACACTGGCTGATATTTCTTTAAATTATGCAACGAATCCCAGCGAACCACTTTGCCTGCCATATTTTTACTTAAAAATAATTTCTTATTATTAATTATAAAATATATTTAAATAATTATTAATTCATTGTTATAATAATAATTTGATAAGGTAAAAATAGAGTGTCAAATTAATTAATTTAAATTTTTCTGAAAAAGAAAAACAACAGAATAAAAAAAAATATATAAGAAAATTATGCAATTACTATAGTGATTTAAATTAATTATTAAACTTTGCTCCTATTTTTTTCTTTTTTACTATTTTACACTCCACTTTTTTGCAGTATCAAATTATGAGAAATACATGTCACCGTTTAAGTGTAACAGTCATAAAAACATTTCGATTACGAGTCTCTCGCTATTTGGAACACGATTTTATGGCGTTGGGCAATCATATGTATAGAGGTAAAGAAAGGTTTTTTTATGTCCCATTGATCGCGACAAGAATAAATTTTGTCGTCGTCGTCTTCCATTCGCGATGAGAATTTTAAATATTGTTAATCGAATTCTTACTAAAATAATTAACAAATATATTCGAAGAAAATATCTGCAAAGTGTCAAAATGCAATATCTAACAAAGAGGAAAGGCTATATGATTTATTATGTTATAATATTTTTAAAATATTTAAAAAAATATTTTAATATTTTAAAAATATTTTAAAAATATTTTAAAAATTATTTTAAAAATATTTAAAAAATATTTTAATATTTTAATCATTTTTATTGTTACAATTTATGTCGTTCATATATAAAAATAAGTAAAAATAAGTAATCGACCGATAAAATTGTAGAACCGCGTTAGAGAAGGGCATTTCACGAATGTTGGAAATAGATAT